TTTAGAAGGTGCCATTTGACCCTGTTGTGGTGGAGGAAGACAAGTCTCAGCCACCGTCCCCTCCCCTTATCGACGATTCGCCTCAGATATCGCGGATGTCGGTCTAGGAAGCCGTTTTTCCATTCAGTAGTTCCACAATCTGCAGTTCTCTCATGTTGAGTTCAATTAGACATTGAAGCTTCACTACGTCTCTAACCAATAAGACAGTTTATCCCGCTCTTTAGCCTGGAAGGTGATCTGTAACGGTGGAAATGGCATGGTTCTTCTAGATCTTCTTCATTTCGGCCTCGGCAGCTCTCATATTCAAGAGGCATAGAAGAGAAAAGTGAAAGAGCGCAGCGTGCTGGACTTAATTTGCCCCAATATCAGAAGGAAAGAAAGTACTAGAAAACAAGTGAGTGGTACTGAGAGAAACTTTACTACCTTGAATATAATTGCTCACAGAATCAATTTCTTTAACTGAAAGCATTTTGAGATCAAAAGCTATGACACATGCGTAATTTATCTGAATCAAAAGCATGGATCAAAGTGCGTCCGCGGATGTTCCCACATGAGTTCAAGCTCATAAGGCCAAGAGAATACGAACTTGCTTTGAAGCTAACTTTCTACGCTTCGTCAAATTTAACGATGCCGTCCCTGCTCTTCCTATTTATATCCGTTGTCTTCTCGTGCTGTTAACATTGAATTCCACAGCCTTCAAATCAGAGAGTGGATTTCTGGAAAACCTGCAAGCTTCTCTCGTGTAGAACTGGGACAAGCACGACGACGCCTGCTTGGGTGCTTTACACAAGCGGTTTAAGCTTGAATCTACGTTGGTGGTGGAGGATTTGAAGGATAATTCTTGTTGACTTGTCTTCATAAAATGTTATTAACTACGTAGATTTTTGTGAGGCCTCTGCTGATGGATTCAATCTTCTGATAAAGATGGAAGGAGTATATAGGCTACGTATGAGCCATACAATTTATCTCCTCTTCGAATTATGGGGATTCTAGCGTTCATCGGCAATAAAGACAATCAACATTCTGCTCCTAGTTCGGGTCATTGCATTATTCCAACGCCAAATCGGGATGCTCATCCGGTCTGCTTGCTCTGAAGATCTGCTGATACACGGTTTCCAATTCTACCACTGTACTACCCTCAGCACCCCATTGTGAAACTCGAAAGCTTTTCGTGTAGGGGCTTGGTACGCCGCAATATGCATACCGCATCCATTCAAATTAGTAGTAGCATTTTTTATACGATTTGACCTATGCAGTGACTTGCCAGGGACACTGGATGTGCAAGAGATCAGCATTTCCCTTCACGGCCGCGGAGCGATGGATCCTCAGTTGGCTAGATGCCCGGCCGCGTGAATGGTGAGCGCTGTCATTCGTCACCCAGGGTTCATCATCCTTGTGGGAATCACAATTACGGGATCCTCACTTATTTATTTATTTATTTACAATGCATCCATAGGACGCGCTACAGCAACAGACATGAATCACCAGTTCATGTTCACAGCAAAGGTATGACCAAGAAAACTAATTGATGGAAAAAGATTTCAATGCAGTCGCTGAAAATGATAAAAAAGAAGAAAGGGAAAGCGGATATGGTTTGGCAGTCAAGCAGACCTGAACCCCTGATTTGTACTTGTTGACTGGACCATGGAATGCATTCACAATATTGCAAGGAGCATAAGTCAGAACCTTTACCTTTGGAAATGAATTCTTTGAAAGAACCGAAAATGTTAGAAACATTTATCGCGCTCGCTTGCATCAGTCTAGCGCTCCGCGGGAGTGCGCTTTTTAA